ATCTAGAAGTAGGACAGACAATGGTAACACATATTTGGTGTCAGGTTTAGGAATTCGGCTAATTCGCAAGTCGCTATCATTTTTGGTTTTACAGACATTGTCCGTCTCTTATATTTAGAGATCAGAAACCATAAAAAAGTGTTTGTTTTGCCTGGAGTTCCTCTGTAGTAAACCCGTCACTAGCTGAACACATAATAAAAGTGCACAAGCTGCTGATGTCACCGCAAGTCCAGACAAATCAGCAGCTGAAGTTCAGATCTTGACCCATACTGTCAGTCATGCCTGGACCTGTCCAGCAAATCTCCCTATTGGTCAATGAGGCCTCCGTTCACTGGGGCAACCAATCGGGGGAGCTCAGTAGGTGGAACTTAATCACTGACATGTAACAAGTACGCGGCGAGTGAAGTGATAGTTTCAGCGTTCATCCTTGAACCAGGTCAGGCAAGTAGTGAAGCAAGGATGATGCTCCAAGGAGCTTGCAATAACAACCCAGCAATGGCAGCTCTGTATTATAACTCCTGACAGGTCCCCTTTAGCCCTTAGCCATGTGAAGCGCGCCATTGTCGCAGGTTGACCCATTGTGCCTTTGTGTTTCAGGATACGAAGGCGTCCCGGAGTTTTTCGGGGACCTCTTGAACCACATCGCTGCCCTCCTTCAGCGCCCGGAACCCAACGCCAATAAACCTCAGTCGGAGCAGACCAGCGGCATCCTGGGAGATCGCCTGTGCTGCGCCCCCGCCAGACTAGAGCCCTGGGGGGTGGAGAACGACGCCAGCGGAGCCGTCAAGCTACAAAGCCAGAGACTAGCGTGCAACTCCGCCGTATCCACCAGCTTCCAGCAGCACTGCGTGGCGTCCTTGGCGACCAAGGCTTCGTCTCAATAACCTCCTGCGAGGGACACTGGACGCAGCGAGGAGAAGCTGGGTGATTTCAGGGGGCAGGGGGAGGTATTTTGTGATGTCATCTGAGGACTTGCGAATCGGGCCTGACGCGTTTTGGGCTCTACGCCATTGCTTTTACCACACCTGGAGTTTTTGGGCATAAACAAAAAACACCACTTGATCAGGAGACCATCGCACAGATACCGCTTCCCCCCCCACCCCCACTCCACGTGTATCTCCCGGCGAGACTAGGAAAAAGTGCACTAATAAAAGCGACAAAAGGTACCGCCGTTGAGGGGGAAGTAAAATAAAACCGCCAGAGGGACCCGGAAACCGGACTTTTCAGAAATTATTTAGAAAAAAAAAAATGGAATTATTTTTAAAGGAAGAAATTTTATTCTGTAAATGCCGATAGTAAATAATATC